CACCCTATGTTGCCAAGGGGGTGATTTGGGGTGTGACAATACGTAGCTTCTCAACAACCATCATTTTTATTCGAAGTAAAATTTACATGCGTATGCTTTTAAACACAAAAATCAAGGGTATCTTTCATCTCATGAGGTTAAACATAATTTATATTTAAAGAATTCTAATCAAATTTTTAGACATCACATGGAGAGTAAGAGGAGTCGTTAATCTCCCCAAGTGAGTTTGCATAAGAAGCTCTTCCTCAAATGATCTTTTCCTCAACATAGAACTCATTAAGAGCTGCCCAAGTACTTGAATAGCTATCATGCAACAACACTTGTACATTTTTACAACAAACATTGTTAAGTCTTGTTATTTAATTTTATTTGTATTACTTGATGTAATCATTCTTTTAGCATTGAACCTCAATCTTAAACTATAAATAGAGAGTAAGAGGATGAGCATAGCATAATATGATTGACTGAGATCTAGTGAAATTTCTAGAGCTTATCTATCAAGTTTTCTCTTTCTCTCTATTTTTCCTTTCTTAGGCTTGTTCCGTATTTGCTAGTAAATTTCTAATAACACCCGCAGACATATATGGATCAAACACGTCCACAACAACATTAGTGCATAAAATTGCATTTGCAGGCACACCATGATATCAATTCACTGGGATCAATGCTACATTAATAATTTTCAGCCAGGAGAAACTAACCAATGGATGCTCCGGATACTCAATTTGTTGATAAGGCAATCAGGTCCAAACTACCAACCGAGAAAAACCATTATGAAAAACATAAAATTAAGCAAGTAATTAGGGCAAATTCCCATCACTCACTGAGACGCAACTCTTCCATCAGTGCATTCCGCACCACACAACGACCATGGATCAGAAGCGCCCTCCTCATTCCAATCCGCTATAACGCCGAACGGATCCACCAACTTCTCCTTCAACCTCAACAGAGCCTTACCTGCACCATTCTTCATACTGAACAATAACACCAACAAATATATATATATATATAGAGAGAGAGAGAGAGTACTAAAAAACCCCTGACCTTGAACGCTGACAGCAGCAGCGATTTCCAGCTCCCAACAGAGCAAAATCAAAGTAGCAAATCGCCATGATAGACTAAACCACCCCATCTCCTCTAAAACCGAAGAAACTTAATGAGGGAGCTGCAAAGGAATTCAGGATCCATAGTAGAGTCAAAAAAAGGGAACTTCCGTGGAGTGTCGGGCACGCGGAAAGAAGATATAGGGATTAGAATTTCCCAAGGTAAGGTCCATGCGAGAAAATAATGCATATATCAGTCGCTGCCATTTTTTAATCCCCTTGGGCCGTCTCTGCTACATATATCGCCTCGCCGACCTACTTCCGGCTTACTCTTTCTTTCCTTTTCCGGTAGAGATGGCGAGATAGGGAGGTAGGAGGTGAGTTTTCGGGGAGGTGGGCGGTTGTTCTTTTTTTGGT